CTGTCATCTTATCCCATCCTATTGTATAGTTGTGCGTAACTGCATGTAGTGAGTTCCATAGCTGAACTATTCTCCCGGTTTCTTATTTTATTCGGGTCAACCAATCTAGATTTTGCTAAGTTTTTGTGTTCTGACTGACCCTGTTCTACTACTTTGACCTATGTATTCGACCCGACAATCATTCCAGCAGGGTATTAGTTAAACTAAATTGTTTTGTTTTAAAAGCTCCACAGGATCCTTTAACCAACAAAGCTTGTTTCTAATTGAGTTTGTGGGTTTGAATGCCAGCCACTTTTATTCCTGCCTTGTTAAGAATTCTGCGTATGGTTTCCGAGTTTCCTTCTTTGTATAGAAGTACTAATCATGATTTAAGTTCCCTATTGTTTGCTGTTGTAATTATTCTGTGCATGTTTGACATACATGTCGTCATTATTATTACTTTTATTATTATCACTATCACTACTATCATTATTAATTTTATTTTTACATTTCCCTACATACTTTCTGACTAATGTGTCAGGATAATTATTGAGTTTCGAAACTTCTCTTATATGCCTCACTTCCTGTCTTAGATTTTCCTTGGTACTAATTAGTTTCACTGTGTTATATGTCTAATGAACAAAGTAATATGGAATTACTCACTACTACGGTGCCCAAGTTTTACACATATATGAATAATTTCACGAGATAATTTGCATATTGCCCATCGGTTCGCTCAAGTAGCTATCTAGAAGTTGGGTGGTTTCAACTGATTCGGATATTTAAGCTCAGTCAAATAAGGTACACTGCTGGTTAGCTCAACTGCAAACGAGCAAAACGATAGATAATCTGGTGTTTAGATCACCTGAAACTGGCTGGCCAGCAAGCACTACTAGCTGATGTTATTGGTTCCCAACTACTGATATCACTCAGTAGATCATGTTAGCATGCTTGCTCTCATGATTGCCATTTGCAATACAAAGCAGACCACATATATTTTGCGATCTGAAAAATGTCGAGATTCGAAATGAAACTGTGCTGAAATTTCATCCGGAAGTCTGTAAACTGGTAAACTGTGCATTAATATGCCAATTTAACTACACCAATTTTGAACTCTAACAGAGGATCCCTAGTTATCCTTATTGTTGTTGGTGTTCCTAGAGGAGAATAAAACCTGATAACATCTATGTTTGTTTTAATTTCATACAACCGCCTCCATTGGTCAGCTTAAACAAAAAACGAACATTCGGTATAGACCGAAAGCCGCAACAATTGACCAGAGACCAGTTATTATATTTCAGGCGTACAAAGGGTAGAAGTATCCACAAGAATCGAAAAATGAATCAGAAGTGCAGTGAAGGAAACATTTTTCGTCGCTAAAGTAATTCCGCTTTACGACACGGTATGCTGGCTAGGTCAGTCGAGAATAATTAAGTATTCGGCTGATGTCAACTACAACTGCAACTACCAATTCACTTGCATTTGAATTAGCAAGAACATAGGAACTACTGAGACGAGAGTGTCCACTAGATTTTCTGATTATTTTAATTATTATCCCATTGGTTTTCGAGTACAACATATAGCTTCATCAGCACACCTCCACTTCGTCCTGTTCTTCGCGCTTCTCTTTAGCTAGCTGCACAATTTGCCATAAGCTCTCATCTTCTCCCAACTCGATCTCATCCATGTCACTTCTAGACCCATGTCCAACTGGTTGTTTCCTGTTCGGGTTCCACTTGACGGTCTTCTCAGCGTGTACCCATCGTATCTCTTCTTCCTTCGGCAAATTTATTGGGCAAACGTTCCCAGAGTCCCATGTTTCTCAACTTTTCTGAACGTCTGACTTTCAGTAATGAGAGTGGGCAGCTGTTTATAAAACTCTGCAGCCTGTTGAAAATGCTTTGCGCGATGCATTTGCCAAGTCTTTGAACCATATACAAGAAGAAAGAACATTAGCGCTTAAAGTCTGAATCTTTCTTCATGCTTATTACGGCAGATTTCCATACCGATTTCAGAGTGACGAAGGTTTGCCTTGCCTTTAACATCACCATCCGTGTCGCCTGTAACTGAAAACATGACGTCTAGATGATTGAGAGCATTGACGTTGTCCAAATTTCTTTCATTTTTTAGTGATTAGTGCTTGTTTTTGTTGACGGTTAGGTACCTTCATTACCTTCATTTTCCGTCTGTTCACTTGAAGTCCTGTCTTCACTGACTACTTCTTCTGGCAAATTGTTGGTTTCTGCTTGTAGACCTTTGAGTTTGTGTGACATTAGGTAAACGTCAATCACAAAGTCCAGAGATTCCAGTGTCTACCCATCGGTCTAACGTATTCCAGTCGTTTCGTTCTCATTGTTATATACCATATGATCCAGTCCACCACAATGAAGAATATCATTGATGATAGTAACCAGTTTTGTCTTACTCTTATCTTCACTTTAAAGGCTTTGCTGAATACGATATATACCGCTGCCGTCTATCTGCTGAATGAAGTTGATAAAGGTTTGGAGCAATTCGTAGTGTCACAGTAGTTTCCGAATGACTTCACAGTCAATGCCTTCGAAGGTCTTTTCTGAGTGGCTGAAGTTTAAGTAGTGGTTCGACCGTCATTCTATGGTCTTTTCGACGGTGGTTCGTGGGGTCACAAAAGGATCAACACATGATTTGCCTTTCCAGATTTTCAGAGCACATCCCCAAAAGTTTTCGTATGAAGGAGAGCAGAATTTTCTGAAGAGCAATCGCCAGACACCTGATGACATGGGACTATGGAAATCGGTCAAAGTTTCTAAGTAATCAATACACAAAGAAAACCTAGGTTACTTCGCTTCTTGGAAGTCACAGCTGTCACAAGATTTCAACCCAACTTCTGTATACAGAAAGGTATTATGACAAGTCTCCGACTACCCTGCTAACTATAACTGCTTTAATCGTGTTTTATTTGTGTGTGTGTGGTTCTGTTGTATAACATTTCACTTGATTTTGATTTTCCCTCACTGAGTTGAAATCACTAACCAATTACGAATTTTCCTGCTTGTTTCTTTGTGTTCTCAATTTATTTTCAATTTTCACTCACACCCTCGTGAATTTCCCAGCATACTGCATATGAATTTACTCTTTTATTCAATCTTCTCTCTTGTCTGTAGTCAATCCTTGTTTCTAAACTAAATCTGAACTTTTGACTCGCCCTCTCATTTGTCTAATGATACTATAAACAGTTATCCTCATTTTCTATATTTTGGTTTGTAAGGGTTAGTTATCCTTTTACGAGTTGATCACGGACTGATATCAGTTAGAGAACCATTGAAAACCAGGGAGTACTGGACAGCTGCTATTTCATCCTAGTTTGGAAATCATCGGCAGTACGCACCCACTGGGATTGGAACCCAGTACTCCCTGGTTTCCAATGGTTCTCTAACTGATATCAGTCCGCGATCAACTCGTAAAAACATAACTAACCCTTACCAACCAAACTAAAGAAAATCAATCTGATGCTCGCTAGTGACTTGCTACAGGATAGAGTTTCCTGGAGTCAGTTCTAGTGAGAAGTCGTGACCAGTGAGGTCCATCCAGATGTCACGTATGAGGATGGATGTGTCCCATCAACGACAATGGTTGGGTTCGCACTAAATCACGAATTGGTAGAAGCCAGAATTCATGGACCATTGAATGGCATACGAGCTTGCCTTGTAACCGGAAGGTCTTGGGTTCAAGCCCCAGTGGGTGCGTGCTGCCATTGATTCCCAAAGAGCTAGGATGAAACAGCTGTCCAGTACTCCAGTGCTGGTTTTCAATGGTTCTCTAACTGATATCCTCATTTTATCGCTTATGCTTACTGTCTATAGCTCAACGTCACTTTCAGCAACGTATGTTCAAAGAAGACTGTGTAACTTATTCACACCACTACTGGTCGATATGATTAGTGTACAGCTACTCTTCTCAATCAATCAGTAGTTTATCGGTTTACACCCCTGTGCTTGCTTTCTTGTTTCAAAATTTATAGTATCAAGCAGATCACACACTGTGATTTGAATAATTCCAGGGCAGCAAAGGAAACTGTGGTGAAATCCCACCTCGTCGAACTGCTAAAAATTTTAATTTGCAAAATACCGATTTGATTCATGTAAGTAGCACAGTTCGCCAGAACGGCTACCCGGAATTCCGATAGTTTGAAATGATTCGGTTCTCTCAACTGAGTCAAAACAGCTGAGTACACACTCATGATGAAACGAGCCCCAAACGAGTGAAACAGCTGTCCTGTGTTAAGGTCACTATGATCTGGCTGGCTGTCTATATCAAGTGCTAGTAGTTGATGTCAATGTATAGTGGTGAGTATCTCCGCCTGTCACATGGAAGGCCTGGGTTCGATTCCCGGTCGAGAAGCTGGCTTGAAAGTGCGTCGGTGGCACAGTGGTTAGGATGCTCGCCGACCATGCATATGGTCCAGGGTTTGATCCCCGGCCGACGCACTCCTTTACCTCGCTAAGCCAGTAGTGAGACTGGTAAAGAGGAAAGGTTGGACATGAGGCTAGTAACTTCATCCTGTAAAAATTAACACTGCTACAGAAACTTCAAGTCTCTAGCTTGGAGCCCTATGTTCCACTGGGAACGTGAAGGAAAAAAATATATAAAAATATAAAAGTTGATGTCAATAGTGTAGAACTACTCATTTCAGTCAGTCAGTAGTATATAGCTCTACTTATAAATTTTGACATTGTTTGCAGAATCTTCTTTAATCTTTACTTATGTATCATTATTTTCTAGACATGGATAACTTAAAATGCGAATTAATTAATTCATTAAACTATATGCGTATCAATTAATTTTACGCAGAGTTCAGAGAAGGCAACAATTCAATCTATTGACGTTTTATTTGCACTGAATGCACTGAAAATATTATTCTTATCAAGGGTATTGTTTTTACGTTTTTATAACTGCAAAATTTACTTCGTCCTTTCACTATATATGTATATATATATACATATACATAAAACGAAATCTTAATTTAATTTCAAGAAAACACAATGAATATTAAAATATGCCTTGTTTGTTTGATACTCTTCCTAAGCTTAGTGAAAGCTGCAGCCCCACAACGCATAGCAGAAGAAGAACTACCACCAGGAACAGGAGTAGCAATAATACCACCACATCAACCAAAGGAAATAACAACAAAATCGGAAAGTAAGAAAACTGATCAAACTAAACAAACTGAGAAGTCATTTGACGAAGATTCTTCAGAAAAGCGAACATCAAAAACTACACATCAATCTGCAGATGATGATAGGGATGTTGAAACATACTTTATTTCAGGAAAATCTGAATCAACATATAAAACAAAAGATGCTGGAAAACTTAGAGCAGAAGGCAAATTTCGTTCCCGTGGTATTGGTCGTTATGGGACTATATCATCTGAAGGCACTAAGTATAGTATTGAAGGTACTTTTGACAGATATGGTAGAAGAAGGCCTACTAAATCAAAGTTTAAAACATATGGAAGAGAAAAGAGATATTCGAAGAAAATTGTTGATAATAGATTCGATATTAATGGAAAAGTACTTGAAGAACGTAGACATAGAAAAACAGGTAATTATGAAGCTAAGGGGACTCATGCTCGTTTTAATGTTCGAAATGAGGATGAAAAGAATACAAAGGAAACTTCGAAAAATCAAAGTAAACAAGTGGATAAGTCAGAGAAAAAAGAAAAAACAAAAAAGAAAAAAGTTGAGTCAAAGGAAAACACAATGCCTGTAGTTCCGGGACTATGAATATGAATATGTTACTCAAAACCTGTTGTACTAACATTACAATAATAATAATAATTTCCGGTTGATATCATTTATCTAAACACTTTCTTTAATTTCTTCAATAACACCTATTATGCTCGTAAGTACTTATCGCGTTATTATAATTTTATGTTATGTTAAACAGCTTTCTGTTACTCATTCGAAAGTATATTAGAATTTATACTAAAATAATGTGAAATTAAAATATTATGTGGAAGCGGTTTTTTTAATACATAAATTCACTTATTCCCTAGTGTAGAATAAACTATTTGAAAGGTTAAGATTAGGAAAAGAAAATAAAAGTAAAACTCTTAGGCCAGTGTTTTAAACAACACATTCAATGTTCAACGCGAAATGATATTTTGATATTATGTAGGCATATATATATATTTGATGAATATTTAACCTGTTAGGCATTGTGTATTGTGTTAACATTGAATCAGAGTTAAGTGTAAAATGTGTATGCTGAAAGCAGAAATCATTCTTGTACGTCAGAAGGTGTTCAGATATTTTCAATGTGTGATAACGCATAACCAAGTGGTCGATAAGGAAACTTGGTAGGAGTAATGTTAAGAAATTGAGGAAGGCAAACAGGAGGCGTATGGAAGGAACAATGGTTATTATTTTTTTTGTGCGACTATAAAAATATTTCAGTAGACTGATAATAACTCTAGTCAGCAGTTACTCTGACAAACTAAACGCATTTGATGACATCATTTCCTGTAGTGATAAATCAGGCTCAATTTCATTATTAATAAGGCAAAATCTGAGTTTTGTTAAGCGCGAAGAATTTCTGCTTCTTTTCAACGACTCCATTTTCAAGCCTACAGCTGTAGTCAATCGTATTTGTACTAGGTGAGAAAGGCATTAACTGACACTGGAAAACTGCTCAGTCAATATTCACACATGATAAGAATAAAGATGGCTAACAGAATATTTTAGGGAGGAAAAGTTAGGGTGGATGAATTACAAAACTTTTAAAGGATTATTAAACAAGTGATTTGGTTATAAACATTTTCAAGTAATTCAAGGGTTGTCAAAAATTAATTATGATGATAACAACAAACAAGGCGAAGATGAAGTGATGTGAAGTGAATTCTTGAGATAAAATCAAATCTTAAAAAAAGAACTCTCCTCAGAACAAGGTAAAGAAAGAGATTTAACAAAACGATTTTGAATACATAGTTTAAATTTTTGTTCACGTATAGTTAGGCCTTCAGCTATACATAAGTTAGAGACGATGGTGGATAAATCTTGTGGGGCTGAACGACCTAACTGAAGAATATCTTCGCAAATGAAAGACTTCATCATTCTATGCTCGCTTCTTATCAGCTATACCGGGTAGTGTTCAACTACGCATTTCTGAAGAACATGCTAACAACGTCAAATGTAATCAGCTTCGCAGAATAATATGATAAAAAAGATTATTCAGAGAATAATAAAAACAATCAAATCGCCTGAGGCAAGTGTCATATAGTATTGTTATTTTGTTTAAGGGCTTCAACCTAGAGCTTTGAAGTTTCATTAGCAGTGACGTTCCTTTTTATGGGGTTGGGTTGCTAGCCTCACGCCAAACCTTCCTTCTATCAGCTGATAAGCCAAGTGAGGTTTAGAAGAGAGTTGGTTGGGAATCGAGCTCCAGGCATGACTGTGGTTGGTGAGCACTCTACCATTGAACAACTGACTGACAAGAGTAGGACACTGTCATATCTAATATGCGACACCAACGCTTCACCATTGAGCTAAATCCCCCACAAAACTGTTTAATTCATGTTGGCTGGTGTAATTGTATTCTATGAGCTGGTTGGATGCTGCAAATGTTATCCAGAAAAACAATGAAAGCTTCACAATTCAGTCATCCAGCTCAGAGAACACAAATATACCGATACTAGCCACTTGAACTACAAATCTTCTCCATCATATCTAAGTCATGTATTTACTTCCTAACATGAGTTGTTAATTTCCTCGTCACATTGGCTAGTTGTCTTTATCATTTCTTTTACTCAGGCATTCTACACTCTTCCAATAAAGTTGTTGCAGTAGTACTTACAGAAATACTCTTTCATACTAGATACGTTTATTTAATAAAACACGCAGTGATACAATATTAATTACTGGATGACGTTTCGGAAAGAATTTGTTGCTCGTAATCATATCAGTATATTCTCACGACTTCCTGAATTGTTTTTTATAGTCTTACCCACCCACCCCCTGTTTTTATTGCAATTTTCTTAACCTAACTGACATTTGGGTTATCTGATCTGGATCTAGAACGTCTAAGTTAAATAATCTTGGAAAACGCTCAACCATCCCTGTACGTATACCCGCCTGTGAAACATAACACAGTGGGATAGAATAAAGGTAATATTAAGTAATTTAGTCAAGTGGAGATAGAGAGAGGTTATTCAACGAATCTTTATTCTAGTATTGGTTTGTAGGGATTTGGTTGATTGGTTACAGGATTTCATCATGAGCTGACATTGGTTAGAGAACCATTGGAAAACCAACAGGGAGTACTGGACAGTTGTTTCGCCCTAGTTTGAGACTCTTCAGCAGCACCCATCGGGGTTCGAACACAGGACCTTCTGGTCACACGGCGAGCTAGTAGACCATTAAGCCACTGGGACCCGATCCAATGGCCAGTGTATGAATTCTAACTTCTGCCAATTCACGATATAGCGCAACCGCTAGCCAATGTCTTCGGCGAGTATTTGTCCTCACACCCGACCTGCTGCACCCTACTGGTCACAACTTCCCACTAGAACCCCAGGTAACTACCTACTTGAATAGGGCCATTGGATCGGGTCCCATTGGCTCAATGGTCTACGAGCTCGCCTTGTAACCAGAAGGTCCTGGGTTCGAACCCCGGTGGGTGCGTACTGATGAAGAGTCTCAAACTAGGACGAAACAGCTATCCAGTACTCCCTGCAGGTTTTCCAATGGTTCTCTAACCAATGTCAGCTCATGATGAAATCCTGTAACGAATCTTTATTCAATGAATCAACACCGAAATGAATGCAATCAAAATGATGTGGAAACTGTCCCGGATACATGAGAAATTGCAATAAAATACAAAAGGGTGTAAGGCTATATAGAGGAAGTTAGGAAGTAGCGTGAGCAATAAATTGTGCTCGAGACGTCATCCAGTTATTAACTCTGTATAATCATTGTGTATGTTATACCGAATAAGCTTAACTAACTAATAGGAAATTAGATTCGACCTTCAAAACTAATTCCTTCCATCGAAGCAACTCAATACAATGCATTAACTCATGCTTTTACAAGTGCATTTTAAGAAAAAAAATGTACAGATAGTATTAATATGACCATCATTAGCTGTAAAATCGATTTTAAGTTTTAATTCGTTAGTTCCACATAAATGTTAATTATCACAATGAACGGATCACTCACTAGCGACAACTTTGATAGAATAATTGATTACAGAGGTTGAAATGGATCTACTAATGTATTCGTTTACTTTGTTAAGAGTGGATAAGTGTCTCACAAGCCAGTAATTCACAGGTTCAAGTCCCATTACACCTACGTCAGCCTAGAAGACTGGTTACTGTCATCAGCCACCACATAGTAATTGTGTCGCTCATAGCCTTGAACTAAAACGATTATCTATCCAAAGCAAATGACTTCAAGCAGGCTGAGTTATCCATTAACAGTAAATTCTAATGCATGAGAGAGATTATATCTTATATCACTTTCTCTGTGTTGTCTGTCTCTTTTGCTGTACAAATAAATTGATTGAAGTAGCTGAATAACTGAGTTTCAACTTTGGCTTTGAATAACATCCACTCACTCCACCGCCTTCTCAGTTGGTGTGCAGTGCTGATAAGTCCCACATTTGGACGAAACAGGTCTTTAGGACTCTCTATGTCTCAGTGATCTCTGATATGTTGTTAGTTAGTTCGTGACGAAATCTTATATATTTAAATAAATCCAAATCCCTACTAAGTCCCATAATCAATATAAATCGACATAAATAATATTGAAATCATCAGCCAGGAAGAAGGTGTATGAATTGTATCTTTATCCTCTGACAGATTCTGAAATATAGGCATTTTTATTGGCACCCAACACTTGACATATTTCTTGACTTGAAGGCAGCATTCAACTTTGTCGAGTGACAGATGTTACTGGTAACATTTGGCCGTGGAATGCTGAGAAAGTACCTCACAATAATCGAGGCACTCTGCTCCAACTCACGCAACTGTGTAAAAGCTAATGGAGATATTTTTTATCTGAAGTGATGACGATCAGTAGTGTCAGTCGCAGATATCCAAAATCCCAGTTTTGTTTTTTTCAGTTTCATCATAGATGTACTAATGGAATTCACTCTAACTGACTCTAGCGACTTCGGGTCTGATTTGCTGCCAGAGAACACTCTCTGGCTATCTGTGTCTCTCTTTAGTTACACCGCTTAATTTAAAGTAACTAATTCTTCCAAGCTTTCACTACTCTCAAGTCTGTGTGGAGGTCAACAGCACTCAGCATGAAAAATAAGATCCGGATTTTCAACTCCAATGTGAAGTCAGTCAGTGCTACTATACGGATCAGAGACTTGCACTGCGCGTCATAAAGAGCATCTCAAACAAACTACAGACCTTCATCAACAGTTGTCTTCGCTCAATACTCAAGATCAGATGGCCGGCCAGAAAAGATAAGCAACAGGGATCTCTGGCAATGAGCGAACCAACCAGGAACCGATTGTGCAACAAATAAGCAGGAAGAAATGGAGATGGATTGGCCATACTCTGAGAAATCAAACCATCAAGTGACATCACTAGACAAGCCATTGCTCGAGTGAAACCCGAAAGGGAAGCGGCGAGTTGGTCGTCACAAGGGTGACTTGGAGGAGGTCATGTGAAGAGGAGATGAAAACGTGTGGGCAGACTTGGAGCCAGGTGAAGACTCTAGCAGAGAACCGAACGCAATGGAGACGCACGGCTGAAGCCCTATGTTCCTCTAGGAAT